ATGCAGCCATAGTGATGTAGTGTTATATAGTGTGATGACTGTAAACATAAATTAGCTGACACAAACATGTTGGCTCATTGTTTTTTCTATGACCACTAATCCACATAACAGATATTTACTTTCTTTGAAATGTGAAGTATTTGCAGGTTTGATCTTCAGTACAGCGTCTCCTACAGTCAGTTTTATTTGTGCTTTTGATTTTTTCCTTTTGACCATTGGAAAATTCAGCTTTGTCAAGATACGTCTGTATACAACCTGTAAATGAACAGAAAAACAGTTTAAGTTTGTGTGTAGACAGATTTAAATAATTTCCTAATTCAGTCATTTCCTCTAAGTCTACTCACTAAATCAATTTCTCCTTAAAATATGTAGAAGAAATAGTGCTCCTCGTATCGGGATTAAAGTGAGCAAATTATATTTTTCTAAAGATATATAAAGACATATAAGACAAAGATATTTTAAACATTGAAGGATCCTCTCAGCAGTAACTAATGCTGCTCCTCTGATTCTGCTTCATTTTAAAAACTGGGTACTGGGTAAGTTAAAAACAATGTTCTGATTTGATTGTGGAAAAAACACACATGCTTGTAAAAGGATTAAAGTGCTCACCTCTTGTTACGTTCAAGTACAGGACTGGAACATTGTTGTCATCATAGCAGACAAAGGTATCGTTGAGGTTTGGGTTGTCAATGGTCAGAGTCTTGTGATTCAGGAAGTTGAAGGAGTCACACAGTGTCGTGTGAATAACAGGTATACCCAAGACACTTTTGCAACAACGTTTAACATTCCCTCCTCCAGTAAATTTAAAAGTGATTCCCTCTCGGAGCCATATCTGTGTTGCTGAAAAAACCAAAGGCAGCTGGATTGTTGCTGTAACATGAGGGAAACAGATCAGGAAATATTTACATTTGATAAAAAATATTGTAAATATTTGTTTTAATAATAATTTAATAATATTTTTTATAACAAATAGCATTTTATTTATTTATAAGAACAATAAAACACTCCAGTGATATAAACAGTGATTAGACAAAGGTAAAAATAATTATCTTGGTGAGATCTCCACTAATGTTTCTGAAGACAACTTACCCAGCAGCAGTGACAGATGGATGAACTGCGCCATGGCCACTAAAACTAGAAAGAAAGTTTACAAATTGAGGAGAGCTCATCTAGGCTATTCGTGGGAATTACATGAAGAACTCAGATATCACACATCAGTGTTACCTTCTGTTAGTCAGTAGTATTTTGCATAGATTGAAAGAACTGATTGAAGTTTACATATCCACTCTGTATGACTCTGTGGTCTATGTAATATCACTTTGGCAGTGAAATGGGTTTCTGCTTATTTCTCTCCCCAATACATATCATGAAGAACTACCACTGCCCTAATGTTCATATTTCCACTTGCAGTATTTAATGTAATATACAGTTTGTTCAGTAAAATTATTGAAGTATCTTGACTTTAGTTTTAGTTTTATTTTTTTAATATGACAGACATACACAAAGATAGATCTGCCTGTGTAACAAAACACTTTTTTCATAATTTTTTCTGTGATTTGCTCATTCCTATTTGACCGAATTTGTATTTAGTAGCTATAAAGGATTAAACACCAACATCACAGCATCAAGCTTATCTTAATAATGTTTGAATCTGTCAAAAACTTACCCAACAAATGAAGACTTTCCACAATGTGTTAGGACGGTGGGTAGGGAAATGTGAACAAGTGTCTTCATAGTACATCATTTTATAGAGCTGCTGACCCTGTCCGCCTTTTGACCAAAGAAACACACCCACACCAGGGTGCTCATTTATTTTAAAGGGATTAAGACTTTTATTGTGAATGCCTAGAGGCACTGTGGTTGTGTATCTGTAACACTGGGCTTATGTACAGTGTACATTAGTAGCAGTGCTGGGCATTACTAATAATAATATTACTGTAAGTAGTAGTGTAACTAATAACTGTAGGCAAAGAGTAATAAGTACAGTAATATTACTAGAGAATAATGAGTAATAAATAAAACACATCAGATATGCCAAAGCAAAAGACAACGCATCCAAAACCTGACAAGATTGATATGATGCACATAAATCAACATTACAGCCATGTATGTTAGTAATTTGGTTTGTCTTTGTGTTGTTTCTGTCTGAGGCTCTTTGGAAACACGTTTCTCCCACTAACTGAATAAACAGGAAAGATCAACACATATTTAAATTCGATGAAAGAGGTCTCTGTCCTCATCCAAAAATGATAAAGAGCTACTGTTTCGACAAGCCACATGCAAATCTAAGTTCAGAAGCCCAACAGTGAGAAAGTTTAGTTCAGTCATAATATATGCAAATATCTGTTCTATGGAAGATGCATGCAATCATGTAAATGTATGCAGGTACAATGTTGACTTATTTCCTGCCAAACTAAGTTAAGTTGAATAATGTATCTTATCAATTGCCCTTGTTGGAAAGACGAGCAGAGCACCGAAAACTCGCATTGCTGATCGCAGAATCACAATTAGATGCAGAAACATAAATGATCCAGTAGCAGCTAACTTTGTTAAATACAATCACCCTAATTCCTTTCAAAGATATATTGCAACCGACTCACTTACCCCACGAGGGGAACACTACTTGATTCACTCTCCCCTCATGGGTTGAATATAGATTATGACTTGAGGTGTTTCTGTAATATATATATTATTTATTAGATATTTAGATCAAGTTGTTTCTGATGTTAATCTAGATCTGCTGCTCTTTAATCTGGATATCTATTAGGCATCTGTTGAAAGTGTATGTATTTATAACATTTGTGAAAAATGTCATTTAGTTTGAAGCAATTTGATTGGCTTTAGCGCCTGTTGTGACATGATTGTCTAATCATGTGTAACTAGATACCAGTGCCTGTGTCTTAATATGATTGTTGATCTTGAAGAAGGCCGGATGGCTGAAACGTCATCAACTAAATAAAACTGAAATGCAAATGGAGCAAGAGTCTGCAACACTTCCTTCTTACAATGTTGAACAGGAAAGCTGTTGAATCACCAGCTCAGCCTCCATCCAGAGGTGGACAGTAATAGTAAGTACTCAGTAGCAAGTATACCTTTGAATTACTGATAAATAGGGAGTTTATTTTACACATGTTAATGAACAAGATGTACAGTGGATATAAAAAGTCTACAGACCCCTGTTAAAATGCCAAGTTTTTGTGATGTAAAAAAAATGAGACAAAGATAAAT